TGAGGATATGGACCAGAATCCATATGGTAAGTCGCCTCCCCAAGACCCAATAAAGTTTCTGACCGACCCGCATGCAATTGATCCCAACAACAATGGGCCTCATCAATATGGCCCATCACTCCAGGGACTGGGCTGAAAGAAGAGGCCTGACTGGGCCCACAATGAGATGTGATCCAACGACCCACCACTGTATTATTATGTATTGTAGATGCTTCACTGCAGCTTTAGGATTGACGATGTGAAAATGACACCCTCATCCCTTCTGTCGCCGATCCCGGCGACTGCGCAACCCTGGTCGCACAACCCAGATGGGGAAAACCACTGCCCTTAAGAGACATATAAAATGGGTGAGGTTGTACGCATGCTGAAATAAGTGTCTCATTTTTATAATTTAATTTTTTAGGAAAATATTTTTTTTTATTTTTTATTCTATTAGTATTAAATGAATTATCAAATTTATCCTTAATGAGTCTACAGTGATGTGAAGATTTACTTTTTATAGGTTAAATTGATAATATTACCAAATAAAATAAAATAAATAATAAATTAACTTTTCAAATGAGATAATTATTTTAGGAGGGATTAAAAAAAAAAAAATCAACACTTATTTTGGAACTAAATGAGTAACTTACCTGCTAATCATATACCATCTAGAAATGTAAACAAATCAAATTATTCTAGAACAATTGATGTTTATTTTGTATAGTAACGAATTCAGTGTTAACGAAATTGAAATGAAGTGAGGTGGGAAGACAAATTATATTTAATATGAGAGAAATGAATACGTTGTTTAAAAGTTTGAAAAATAGTTTTTTATAATAAATAATATTATAAAAAATTAAAAATAATAGGATATAATGTGACCAAAATTGAATAGCAGTATTTCTATAATTTCAATTCTAACAGTATAAAAAATATTTTCATTGGGAATGATACAAGTGTAATAATTCTTCAATACAGGATTATTGCAAATCTCCGATCAGCATTTTCTCACTCGTAGGACTACTTGTTATAAATCACACATCCTCTCTTTATAGATATCCTCCTCCCAACAGATCGCTAGATGCATTACAACGGAAGGGCTAAGATTTATTTTTTCGAATTCTCTTTTAAAGTATCTAAATATTTAGAAACACTACAAATTCTCTACTCTTAATTACCTTTTTTTCTTTTTTCTTTTTTATGTATAAAAGCGCGTACAAATTGAAAATCTAATTAACAAATTATCTTAGAAAATAAAAGAAAAATAAAAACAAATAGAACTTAAAGAAAACTTATACCGTGTTTAATCTAAAGAAAAACGAATTGCATGGAGGAGGAAAATTTTAATTTGGATATGCTTCTTTTTGCATTATAATTTTTTATATTTTAAAAGTAAGAAATCTGGATTTCACAAATTTGTTAAATTTTAATTTTAATTTTATTTATTTATTTATCAATTTGTCATCATTTATTCTGGATCAATCAAGTGTATCACTAACAGGTATCACACTTAATTTTTCCTTTCACATTTTAGTTTGTAACTCTTATCTTTGTTACCTACTGCTATCCTCCATTTTGGCTAAATGAATCCATTAAAACTGAAACAAAGTGTAATTTTATTAATTCATAAAAAGAAAATGATTCTTGCACCTAATAATTATAGTGAATTGATAGACCTACTCTTTTAATTGGTTAATTATGTAACAAATAAGAAAGTAGAACCCTTCATGGTTGTATTTGGTATAAATAGTTAATTAAAAATCAGTTCACTGATAAATAAATAAATAAAAATTAATTAATTAATTAATTCACTACAAATATTCGGTATAAGTATCACTACTCTTCATAAAATAACTTATTCTGATTGAATGTATAAAATATGTATTAAAATAATGTTATAAAAAGTAGTTCTATTTTTTAAAAAAATTAAAACTATATTCTAACAATCCTAATATTAGTTAAGCAAGTTTAAAATTACGCCTTGCACTTCTTTTGAAAATTGTCAACCCTTTATCCTTTTTGTATTCTTGAGTTATTTAAATATATCAATTTCAAGTGAAAGTGTCTTTGAAATTAAACACGTGAAACACATAATCTATGGAGATTTGGCTGAATTATTTATCTTCTCAAATTTAAATTTATATCTTGCTTTTCTTTTGAAAAGTTTCAACACTCTCTTTGTATTCTTGAGTTATATAATAGATCATTCTCAAAAAAAAAGCGTTAAACATATGAAACACGTACTCTATTAGAGATACGACTGAATAATTTATCTTGTCAATATAATATTGAGAATTAGATTTATATTTATGTTTTGTATAACTAAGACCAAAAAAAAAAAAATTAAAACAATTATTCTAACAAACCTAATATTAGTTAAGTTAAATTTAAAATAATGTATTGCACTTCTTTTGAATTATTTCTCGTTAAAATAATATTGAGAATTAGTTTCTTTTACTTATTTTTCTGTATAAATAAGACAAGAATCAATAAAACTGTTATTCTAACAATCCTAATGTTAGTTAAGCAAACTTAAAATTATGTTTTGCACTTCTTTTGAAAATTGTCAATACTTTATCTCTTTTGTATCCCTAAGTTCTTTAATTAAATCACTCTCAAAGTGAAAGTGTCTTTGAACTTTGATTGAATTATTTGTTTTGTCAAAATAATTTTGAGAGTTAGTTTTTTATTTTTATTTTCTGTATATATAAGACAAGAATCAAAGGCAGAGGCTATGCTCTATGTCCAATAGAAAGTCACAAAAGCAAAAGTATTCCCAAAAACTCAAAAAGTAACCTCCACATCAATTAAAAAAAATAAAATTTAAATTATAAAAAACCAAAGTTTTGAGGATGAAACTTATAAACATATAATTATATATATAGTTTCATAATAATAAGATCTATATAAATGATAACTGGTAGGATGGAAGCCCAATATGAAGGAAACATTAAACTTGTTGCAGGGAATGGGATGGGCTCACGCTGAGAGTGAACTTTAGCCAGGATTGATCCAGCCCAATTAACAGGAGTTGGATTGTTGGGAGAGCTTAATGGATGGAAATTAGTTTGCTCCATGGTTGTCCATGAAAAGTTTGTAGGTTTGAGCTCCAAAAAAAAATCTATTCTGGCGCTCCAAATTTTATATATTATATTCTGAAAAACTGATTTTGCACAACCAATTAGACAAAACTATATACTGAACATAAATACAAATTTGAAAGGAGGGTTATAGTGTAGGAGTGAAAACAAATCAAGTTGTTCTTAAACAATTTAGGCTCAACTCGATTAAAGCTTACTTGCTTTTTAAGCTCATTTGATAAACGAGTTAAATTCAAAGCCCATTTTTTAAAGGAGGCAAGTCCAAACAACTAATGTCTAGGCTTATTAGGCTCGTGAACATGCTTATGAATAGGCGTTCATGAGCAAGCATGACAAGGTTCATCAATATGACTCTATTTTCTTTGTTTTTCTCAATTTGATACTTACTTGATTGTCGAAAACTCTTAGGCTGGTACCATATCGGTGCCCTTCCGATTACTTTTTTTTATCGTCTCTTTCAGATACGACGTTCTCGTCACTGTGGAATCTTGTATCAACAGTTGGTTTATTATGAATTGTTTAAATATATAGTTAATTATTTCCCTTAACAATCTTGATTTCAAGTTCGAGATCGTGACCAATGGACTTTAGCCTAAATAGTATAAGTTCTCATCTCCTTTGAAGAGGTTGAATATTCGAATCCTAATAAGGACAAACATACATAATTTTTTGTATGTTTTTTTTTGAACTTTCGAAGGAAAAAAAATTGAAATAGTCACCAAAACTGACTAAATAAGTTAAATAAATCAAACTTGATGGAATAATGCTTGAGTTAAGCTGGAACACTCTCTTATTTGAATCGAGCTCAATCTCAATATATTGAAAACTAGATAAACTTGGAAAAGAAAATTAATAAAAATTCTGATCAATTTTTATAACCGAGTGATGGGACATCAAATACTTTCAAAAGAGAGAGGTATGCTATATTGGGTGATCCGAGTATGTCATATCACTGCTATGACCCCTTGTTAAATACTAAATTATAGTTGTCAAATTATCAATTTGGAAAATCGTAGGATTACTACTCCACAAAAATAGAAATGAGGCAAAATCTAATTCACATCAAGCGAAAGGGGAGCGTGAAAGCGACAAATGTAATGTTCCATTTGATAGGAATGAAGAAAATTGGATGGAAGGGAAAGAAAAAGATATGAATGAGACATCCCTACAAAATAAATTGTATCATTCTCTCTTTTTGTTTGGTTGGATAAAAGGAAATATAATGAGATAATACCTTATTTTGTTTGTGAGGAGAAAAAATTTGAAATTGTTAATTATAAAAAAAGTTTTATAATTTTAAAACTTTTATAATGGCGATTTTATGAATCGGGTGTGAGAGGCATTGACAGACTATCACACTGGTCGAGTTATATGTGCACAATCCTACATCGATAGAAAGGGAAAGTGTTATGTTTGTATCCAATTGGTAAGTGTTATGTATGTATCCAATTGGTATGAAACATTTTGAAGATAAAATTAAAAAGTAAAATCATGCAGGCTCTAGTTGAAAGTGAAAAACATCATACCATGTGCCGGAGGGACGAGTATACTCAAGAATTTTTTTTTTTTTTTTTCCTTCATTTTTATGAAAACGGAGCATAAGAATTGTTTGAGGGAAGGCATAATCGAACACGACCTCGAGAAAAGGAATATACCCGGAAAATATACCCAGAATTGAGAAACTCCGATCCTAATCCATTCTGACTAGGACCAAAAAAAGATACAAAAAGCCGGATCAAGTCAAGTAGACTCTCCACCAAATAAGACACGTCACGTCCATCCACAACGACCCCACACACGGATAAGGACCGCCCATCTTACCTGACCCCCTCCCTCACTCAGTCACCACCATTCGTTTCCCCCTCTCTCTCTCTCTCTCCCTCTCTTTTATATATATATATATATATATATATATACACACACTTGTACTGCTAAATATATTATATTATTATATAATACATACATACAGTTCACGCCCTTTGAATAGTCCTTCCATCCATTAATGTAATAACATTTCCGTTGTCTGAGTATTCAACCCTTCAAAATTTCATTTTCCATATGCTTGCCGTATCCGCTTGGTTTTACTATTCAAAGCCTCTATTTTGTATATTCAACTTTTCATTCACACACTCTCTCTATATATATCTATTTAGATAGATCGATAGATAGATCAGAGATACAGAGAGAGAAATTGTTGTTGTATCAGTACGATTGTGTTAATTAATTTGGTGAGTTTTTGACATATCAGTCCTTGAGCTGGTTTGCTGAGAATGGCGAGTAGTTGTGGTGCGATGATTAATGGATCTTCTTCTTCTTGGATTCAATTGAAGGAATCAGCAAAAAATAAGAAGATGATGAGAAATAATAATAAAAATAGGGTTAGGGTTTGCTGTGTTTTTAATTCTTCTTCCACCATGAATATGAGTAGTGATCCCTACACAACTCTTAGGATTCATCCTGGTGCTTCTGAATCTCAAGTCAAGAAAGCTTTTAGACAACTTGCTCTACAGGTATTATTCCTTCACATTTCTCTTCACACGCGCATATATAATTTTAATCACACACATATATATACATATATATATATATATGATGCAAGGAGTTGACAATTTCTTTTCTGGAACTTAAATGAAAAAAGCCCAACTGATCAAATATTCTTACTTTTTATCTGGGGATCAAAATATTTGTTCATTTTTGGTTTTTGGATATTTATTTTTTCCCTCTCTTCGCTGCCCAATGAATTTTGGTGGTTTTGATCTAGTTTATACTTTACACACTGCGCACATCACGTAATCTCTCCATCACAAAACTTTTATCACTTTTTTTTTAAAAAGTAATATATATATATATATATATATATATATATATATATATACTAAATAGGCCTTTAAAAAAGAAACAAAAAATTTGTATAATATTATTACTGGTGGGACCTTATTAATTGATTGGCTTTGATCGAATTTCAGTATCATCCGGACGTCTGCAAAGGAAGCAATTGTGGGGTCCAGTTTCACCTCATTAACGAAGCTTATGATGTACGTTATCACACTCTTTAATACCCCCATTTTTTAATTACGGAGTATTTTTTTTTTTTTTTTTTCAGCCAATTGTCTTTATTATTATTATTATTATTTTTTAAAAAAGCCAAATAAACACTAAGGAGTAGAAAATCTTTTGAGTGTTTATTTGGATTTAAAATTTGATCGCCTTGTTTATGTTTGAAGCATTGTGTTTAGCCTAATAATTTGTAGATGAAATTGCTATGATGATGCAGACTGTGATGAGTAATTTGAGAGGAGATCCAATAACATCAGAGATGGAATCGTATGAGCCGTACGATGATGCCGGGATGGATGAGCCCATGAGAGGGATGGACGACCCTGATTGGGACTTGTGGGAAGAATGGATGGGATGGGAAGGAGCAGGAATTCGCGATTACTCCTCTCATATTAATCCTTATATCTAAATTGTACATAATTGTGTATATATATATATATATATATCATTTGCCGAGTTACATCACCCACAAAAGTCAATCACTTGTGTAATTAAGTGGGTGTTCATTGTTTATTCTATCTGTACATATTTGATTATATGATACTATATAATTACAATTTACTAGCTGTAATTACTTTATGTAATATGAAAAGATGCAATAAAAATATTTTAGTCTCAAACCTTTTGCTTCGAGATTAATTTCAAATACACTTTTTAGTGAGAGCATGCATCAATATTTTAATTAATTTTTTTTTTTAATTTTAAATTCAAAATATTAATAAATTACTATTTTCGTTCTAATACAATGGTTATAAACTGTGACTCGCGTAATTGGACAACAATAATATTGGGACGGATGTATATGCATTAAGACACGTTTATAATATTGGGATGGATGCAGATGAAATAACACAGGTTTATAGCTAAGGGGACAGATGTACAATCATTGATTGGTCCTTGAAAGTCTTATGTCTACCATGCATGGAAAAAAGTCACGAAAAGGGCATGTGTGTTTTGTTGTGTATGGAATGAGTTTCCTATTTTTAATTTTTTTTTTTTTGGGTACAAATCATGCGAAATATCAAATTGCATACGAAGATTATACAATATTAAATTTTGTATCAAAGTTTATTTAAAATAAATCACATAAAGTCAAAATTTTCTTTTTTATTCGTTTTTGTTTTTTGAATTAATTTTACCATAGTAATCGTTTATACTATTTTATTTTGAAGTATATTGACTTTTTATATATATAAAAAAAAAAAAATACAGCGATGATGTTAATTATCATGAAGCTGACCTCATTGTAGTCTCCCTCTTCATCATTGTAACCAGGGAAAACAGGACAAGCAATTATATATCAAAAACATCTTTTTCATTTTTGAAACTCTCGTAAGAAACGTTGACAAAGTCAAATGTACATGTAGATTTCTTTGCAATTTGGAAAAACAAATCAATGTTTTAAACTCTTGGATTGTAACTTTTGAAAAATCTAATTATTTCTACTGTGGAATGTATTAAATCTGCTTCATTAGAAAGTTGGATTTTCATATATAAACACTAGACATGGGACAGGTAAATTATATATATATCTATTTATTGAATAGTGTTGACAAATAAAGTTTGAGAAATTGCTTCACTAACACTTTCTGATAAAAATAAATAAATAATAAAATGAAATGGAGAAAATAGGCTTCAAAAAGCTGGCCCGAATTGAGTCCTGTTTCGGCTCAGCCCGAGGTCACCATGGCCTGGGTTGGCTGTGCTTTCTCAAAAATCAGACTGGCCCAGAAGACGCAACAGACTCAACCAAGAACTGGGCCTCAAATCATAGGATTGGAAGTTATTTGGAACGGTAATTGAGAGTAACTAACTAAACTTAGTTGATAGAACAAATAGTTCTCCGAACCGGTGTGTCTTTGTACAAGTTCTCTTCTTTTTATTTGTCTTTGTAATTGTTCTGCAAAGGAATATCTTTCTATGGACCCTATTGGGATCATGTTATAGGGTACTGGAAAGTGAGTGGCCCGAGAGGGTACTCGTCCTGAAATATGAAGATGTAATGAGATCGAGACACCGAGTCTTATGTGAAAAGATTGGCCGAGTTCATGGGGTATGCTTTCTCATTGGAGGAAGAAAAGGAGGGCACAGTACAAAAAATCATAAACTTGTGTAGTTTCCAGAATTTGAGCGAATTGACTGTGAACATGACCGGAATGCTTTAGGAAGGGAAAGGTTGGGGACTGGAAGAATCATTTGACTGTAAATATGGCGGAGGAGACGGATCGGATCACGGAGCACAAGTTTGGCAGCTTGGGCTTGCCTTTAATATGTTACAGTTAGCAGCCATGGAATGTGGTAATGTATTGATTGTTGATTAGTCCATTTTTTTTGGGATTGTTTGATGTCCAAGTGCTTTTCCTTTTTGGGATTGTGTTCAATCTCATTGGATTTTCCACCAAAAGAAACCTTGAATGTCTGTAGCCACACCTACAAATTGTAAAATGGGTGTGTGTAAGGTTATTTTCGTCAAAATAATCAGTCTATGTTTCACGTTTGTACTACTTTAACACCAAATATTTCAATTTTCTTATAATGGGTAATTTGCAACTTTTAGTTTATGGAGGGTGTCTGTTGCCGCAAATAATAATAGAGGGGTATTTTGCAACTTTTTAATAACAAGAGAGGTCTGGTGCAATTTACCAATATTTTTCAGAAGATGATTGATGGAATTAGGCTATTAGTCCACCTGTCCAGTGATCATTTAAGAGACAAGAGCCCATATTTATGTAGTTCCCCACATCTTAATTGTGATCCCAAGGAGGACAATATTTGAAGTGAAAGGGGTGATTTACCCATACATCATATTACCGTTTAGTTTAATCCAGAATTAACAGGAAGAGAATGGTTTGATCAATTTAATAGTGCAAGTGTCAAAAAAAAATAATAAAAAAAATGAAAGTAGAAAAAAAGTTTTGTGAATTTAACCCTAATATATATATATATATATAATCAATATAAAAAAATAATGCTCCATAGACTTTCTATCCTAGATAAGTGTCAAAAATACACAAATAGATATTTACCTTTTATTGTTGGGTAAAGTGTAAAAAATTCTACAGCGATATACAAAATGTGCAAATACCACCATAGTGTTAAAAAAAAAAAAAAAAAAAAAAAACCTATATATTTTTCAAATTAAACAAATAAGGACAATTCTTCAATTTAAAAATTAAAACACCTAAAATGCCCTTAAGACAAAATAAAAATAAAAAAAATACTGATTTTATAAATTTGGGATTTTTATAAAAAATAAAATATAAATTTGGGGTTTTTATTAAAATAATAATAAGAATAATCAAAGACTGAAATACCCAAAATTGTCGATCAGGGGCAATTTTGCTACAAATTTGCAAAATATAGGAATTTATATGCACTTTTTAAAAAATGAGGGTGTTTCTTGCACAATTTTTATATATCAGGTTTTTTTTTTTTGTTTTTTTTTTTTAAATACTTTACCCTTTATTATTATATTAAAGCATTCAAATTATTTTTATATTGTTTTATCTTTTTTCAAATAAGATTTCAGGGTGTTTACATGGATTATTGTTGTTATTTTTTGTTCACCATGACCAATATCCAAAAGCGATGATATAGAACTCACCTCCTTACATAAGCATCCCATGGATGTTCATGAAGAATCATTTGGTTGAAGTTGGATGAAAAACCTGGCACAAGTAGGAACAAAAATATAACGAACCCCAAATACTAAGAAATACTCTGTTCCAATAGTAGCTTAAACCAATTAAAAGGAACAGAACCTAAAAAAATAAGTTTGTTTATATAGACTTCAAAAAATGCTAAAATTGTATCACCCATCTAACTTTTAAAGTTCACCTATTTTTACCTCGATCCATTGCTCTGAAGAGATCGTTAACTTCAAATTTTATTAAAATTATATCTTCCCCTGTATATAGTAAACCATCACGCCACTACTAATATTTTGGGCACCATAGGAGAGAAGCAGCATAAGAATATTCAGATAATACACAACTAATTATACAAAATTTAGAAAAAGAAAATTAAGAAGACTGAAAAAAAAAAAAAAAAAAAAAAAAAAAAAAAAATCAGAAATTATATGGTATATAAGAACAACAATAATGAACTACAAAGTTACACTACAAACAATAAATGACAGAGTCAGAAACATTGAACATGAGAAAATAAATTTTTTCTCAACTACTATGACAAATATAGGAACTTAAATATCGATTGATTGATAATATTCTCATACAATTACAAATGCCCTTGACAGTTTCTCAAGTTTCTTCCATGTGTTGCATGATAACCTCATTATTTATGCTATAAAACATGTCTTTCGTATTTATAACCAAGTTATCATTCATTCATTGATCTTTCATTCGATTGGACAATTCATTTTTTACAATATTCATAATAGAAAATGCCCTCTCCACAGTGGTAGACACCACTGGTAATATCAACGCCAACGTCACAAGCAAATACACCAACGAATATATCTCGACTTTTTGTGTCTCAACCATTCTTCTTGCAAGAGCAGCAATCCCTTTCAATCTTTCAAAGCTACTACTAGAGCGCGCATCAAGAATATAATTCTCAAGTTGATCATCAAGTTTCATGAGCTTAATTATACAAAATTCTTTTGGATAAAATTGAGCAAGGCGAATTAATTTTTGCTTGTCAAAAGCAAAGAGTGCATCATTTGGACATAGACATACCACACAAAGAAGTAACTCATAGCTTGCCTAAGTGAAACGACTATTTAACTCTTGAAGTTGCATATCTATGACTTTATAAAACAACTCATTACAATCAGTGACGGACCTAGAAAATTTTGTAAGGGGGGGCGGCTTTTTAATTTGTGGGTACAAAATTATTTGATGGGTTCATTTTTGTAATTTTAATAAGGTTTTTTTCATTAATTTAAAAAAAAATAAAGTATAAAATGAAAAAAAAAAAAAATCAGTGGGGCAAATTATAATTCTAGTGGGGGCATCTTCATAAATTATCAAAATTTGAAGTATAAAATGCTAAAAAAAAGAATCCAGTGGGGGCGAATTGTAATTTTAAGGGGGGCATGTTCATAAATTTTTAAAAAATTAGGGTATAAAATGAAAATATTAAAAATCCAGGGGGGCAGGCCCCCCTGGTCACTTGCTGGGTCCGTGCCTGATCACGATAGTACGTGATGTAAGTTTGTCAATTCTTGAGCTTTACGCCGTCGTCGTCATCCTTGAATTAAGAACATATCATCCATGTTTAGAACATCAATTTCATGTCTCTCACAAAAGGAAGAAACCAGAACAAGTAAAGAATTGCACCCATCCTCCCTCATCATTTGCAGTCGTTACTTACATACTTTGACTAAGGAAATGGCATTCACAATATCTTGATTTTTCCTTTGTAATGCTTTTGATAATTCATTCGTAATTCCCAACACAATTCTCATCAAATGTAGACTAAATAGGAAACTAAAAGATTGCATCGATTCAAACAGATAATTTGCTTTATATCTCTCTTCAGAATATGATCCATCTTAAGAACACCGATTACAGATGAGAACATTGTAATCAAGCTACTTAAAGTACCATAGTTTGAGCCCCAACAAGTGTCACCAGAATCTTTGAGAGAAGTACTCTGATTTAGGCATTGCTCATTTGAAAGTACGCCTTTGTTAAGTGCTTCAATAACTTCGGCAACTTATTTCTCTTGAATGACATCATGATGTTTACATGAGGCTCCAAGTACATTCATTACATTAGCAACCAAGGTGAAAAGAAGGGCATGGATATGAATCTTTGCCACAGCCACAAGAGCTAACTGGAGCTCATAAGCAAAACAATGACCAAAATAAACAAATTCATTCTCCTTCAGAATAAGCATTTTGAGATTGTTGAACTCACCTTGCATATTAGTAACCCCATCATAACTTTGCCCACGTAGTCTGGAAATGCTCAATCCATGTGTAGAAAATAACTCATCAATTGATGTCTTAAGCGAAAGAGCAGTTATTTCTTTAACATGTACAATGCCAATAAAACGCTCAATGATATGTCCATTCTTGTTCACATAACGTAGCACAACCACCATTTACTCCTCCACCGATGTGTCTTGATGTGTCTTGAGAATCACCAATTATAATAGAGAAAAATGCATTCCCGATATCTCTGATAATAAAATTAATAGTCACTGTTGCAGCAGCATTAACAATGGCTTCTTGAAACACATATACATCTAATTTCCTATCTTCTGGAACCTTATTTAATTCGCCTTTAACAACCTCATTGCGACTGGCAAGAAATTGCAAAAGTTCAAGAAAGTGCCCTCGATTGCTAAGTTCGTGATTGTCACAAAATGCACGTGCTTGCAATACAAGAAACCGGATACAATCAATTGATGAATTCAAAATAATTCTATAGTCACATTGAGCTTGGTTTGACTGCTTGACAATAATTGATTGATCATGTCGAGTTTGCTTTGAACTATCATCATTATCATTTGTCTCCGAATGAGATGTCAACTCCAATTTTCTTTTCTTCATAACTGTTTCAAATTTGGTCGTATATAATCAAATTAACTTAAAAACTCACGCCCAGAGAATAAAGAACTTATAGTAACATGTTATAGCTAAAATTCAAAATAATATTTAAGATGACCTATTTCATTCCAAAACACAGATTAAACAATAATTAATAAAATTGACAGCATGTACTTAGCCCAAAAAAAAAAAAAATTATAATAATAATAATAATATAATAGGAGTGTAGTAATCAAATAGCAAGTTGCAATTTAAAATTTGAAGTAAAGAAAAATTCACAAACATTAAATATAGACATTCAAGCTCCAAAAAAAAAAAAAAAAAAAACAGAGAACTTTAGAATGGTAGAATTTTAAAGTTTTCGATTTGGAGAAGAAAGAGAAATGGGAGGACGAGAAAATGTACCTATGTGATCGCCGGTGGCCGATAAGGAAGTGGTCGCCGGTCGTAGAGCACTCGATCAGCTGGTTCGTGACTTTTGCGGAAGACGTACACGAAGTGACGAAGAGAGAAATGAGAACCCTGATGTGTTGGTTCTCGTCATTTACGTTTTAGGGTTCGTTGGTCTGAAATTCACAAGTCCTAATGGGTTTCATCTGAATGACTCAGTACTTCAGCCCACTAGCACTGGATATATTTAGATTATGTTGGACGTCTTATTTATATATACGAATTAAATTAATTAGAAATAAAGTTAGAGAGAAGAAATAAAATTATAAAAGAATTCTTATTCTTTAAAAGTTAAGAAAAATTTATGTTTCAATATTAGAATAATTAATATTATAAAAATAAAAACGTCTTGTCAAAAAAAAAAAAATGATTGAAAACAAAGTAAAGAAATCTTGACCACACAAAAGTGTCATTGGTGTATACAGTATCTTTTTTTTTTTGGTTGATAATTTAAGATAACAGCTCATGAAAACAACCAACAATCACGAGGGCTACCATCACACCACATAATAGACTTAGTTGCTACTATACATATACATACATATATATATATATATACACCACATATACATATGCATACATATATATATATATATATATATACACCACATAATAGACTTAGTTGCTACTATACATATACATACATATATATATATATATATATATATAACACAAAATTATATGAGCACACTGTTTGATTAAATTATGAAAAAAATAAAATTAGAATAATAAAAATTTAAGAGCACACCGATTGATTAAAATCAAAATTTGTTTAGTCATAAGTGCTATAATGAGGTGCAACTTAGTGTAACTTTTCTCTTTTCCTTTTATTTATTTAAAAAATAAAAAATAATCAAAATCAAAATCATAATTTGTACATTAATCCTAGTGCTATAATGAGGTGGCACCTTAGTGTTATCTTTTATTTATTTATTTTATTATTTATGTATTTATTTTATTATTATTATTATTATTTATATGTTTTTTATATTGGTGAAATGGGTAAGCCCAATTTATCGGTGAGCTCTTTTTCTTTATATTTTATTGCTCTTCTTGAGCTTGAACTTTTGGACATGCCCGCACAGTAGAGTTCTATCTATGTCTTGTATAGTTTTCTTGCAGCACTCAAAGTCACTCCTCCTTCGCAGATGGCGGACCTCAAAGAACGCCTTCTTCCGCCAAAACCCGCATCGGCCATAAACCTCCGAGACACATCCTACCGTCCGTCGGCGTCCGGCCGTCAACCCTTCCATGGAGTCGACGTTATGGGCCTCAAGAAGCGAGGCCAAGGCCTTCGCTCATGGATTCGCGTTGACGCATTCGGCAACTCCCAGATCATCGAGGTCGACAAGTTCACCATGATGCGTCGCTGCGACCTCCCCGCTCGCGATCTCCGCTTGCTCGATCCACTCTTCGTCTACCCATCGACGATTCTTGGTCGAGAGAAGGCGATAGTGGTGAATTTGGAGCAGATTAGGTGTATAATCACCGCTGATGAGGTTTTGCTCCTGAATTCTCTTGACAGTTATGTGTTGCAGTATGTGGTGGAGTTGCAGAGGCGATTGACGAGTGGTGGGGGTGTGAGTGAGGTTTGGCAATCGGAGGGTGCTGAACTGGGTCGGAGCCGGAGAGGGAATGGTAGTCGGAATTTTGACAATATGTTTGGGAATACATCGCCTGATTACTTGCCCTTTGAGTTTAGGGCTCTTGAAGTTGCTCTAGAGGCTGCTTGTACGTTTCTTGATTCTCAGGTGCGTATCCGAGAAAAAAATCCCAAATTGTGGGGCATACCCACATCATTGATTACTGCCCAATTGTTTAAATTTAATCTATTATGAACAAAAGCTAAAACCTAATATGGATGCAGTAGATACTCATCAAATATATATCATTGCCTAATGGCTTAAATATATCCATCTATATACCTACCTATATGTATGTATATATCTGTTTGCATGTATGGGCAAAAGCTTGATATCCCGTGTTATTGGAGAGGGTTGCTTTGTCTTCAATTATGATGGATTTTAGTATAATTCAATGGTCTGTAAGTGGGGATTTTTGTTATTTAATGCTTTAATCTCCTTGCCGGACCTAAACAATCTTTTTTTTCCATACACTTCTGTTATCAGGAAATATGGTTGTTCTCCTCTCATTCAGCCAATAATATAGGAACCACTCTGGTCATTTTCTTCTTTTTCTTGTTTTACTTTTTTGTTTAAGTTAATCGATTGACTCTATGGTAGATGAATAGTTTAGAGAGTGAGACTTGATGAATTCTGGCAATAGTTTTGGCGTGCACCGAGGCATGCCATAGGGACAACTGAAACCTTAGTTTTTATGCTAATTAGATTATTGAAACGGTAAATATTGTCCATGCAAATGTAGTGACAAGGTTAAGCTTTGCTTGAAGCTGGTGAGGTTAATTTTCCCACATGTCTGTATTATACATATATAAAATGTTGATAGTATTAAGAACTTCTTTATAAGACTTTTAATGCACCTGTACACACATATCTTAAATTCAAATACACAGCTCATCCTAATTGAATTGTGTACATGAATAGATATGTATATATCATGTGCCTTTGATACTCAGAAGCTTATGTCCTGGTTGAACTAACGTGTAAAGAACCTGGGCTATTTCCAAACAAATAAAAAAGAGAAAAAATTGATATGGGATCAATTGAGTTTACGATGTGACGTATATTATTTGAGTCTCGCTGTTTCAATTTGCTTCGACCTGACGGGCTTTAGTGAGCCTGGTGGAAAAGAAGATATTGGCACTAGTGAAATAAAATTAAAACGGAATAGAAGATAATAATGGTAAGTAGATTTATGTAATAAAAAAATTTATATATTTTGATCTGATCACTATTTAACTTCTTTCCTCTCATGTCACGAGCCTGGGATTCTGGGACCAGGGCTTGACAGTGCGGTATACTTTTGCCTATGCATTCAATATTTTCACTTAGCTTGCTAAAACTCACACCTCAATCTGTTGCCCACATCTGATTAGTAACCTCCATAAAAGGATGGCATTAACAGCAAAAAAGCACACTAGAGCGAGATGCGCTGAGTTTTTCTAATGGCCTGTATTCTGGTTGATTTTTGTAATTTAGGGTAGTTCCATGTTTTTTTGCTCGATCTGGTGAATACAACTGAACTGTAGGTGGAGGTCTGGACTGTGTGTTGAATAGAGATAGGTGAACTTCATATTACAAATTGAAGCAGTAGAGGTTCCACTGAGGAGAAAGAGAGGGTGAAGGGTTATGAGTTGTGGCAATGTGATGTTGGTTGCCCGGAAGAAGAAAATAGAAAAAGGGGAAATTGTATCTTCAATTGGTGAATTCACTTTACAGTGGGGTTATGGTGAGCATAACCAAAAACTCATGGAATTTTTGAGAAACTTTGTATGCGTGTGATGTGGGAGTTAGAGGAAGCGTGAAGGCACATTTATTAGTCCAATGGAACATTAGAATTAGCTGCTACTATTATGTTGCGCTCAAGCAAGAGAATGGAAACGAATTTCATAACAATGGTCTAGTGAGGAAGATTATTGAAATTGGTGCTAGTTCCTTTTGTTAGATCTGGTTCTGCATGTAGTGGACGTACACAAAGATCTGTGAGCTATTGGGCTTGGGTATTAACTACATGCATTTGGTGCTCCTATCATGGTGAGTGGTGCTCTTAAAGTGATTAATGTGCTTTTTTAATGGATATTGGTACTTCGATCAGAAGAATGCAAAATATTCTCATGGTATTTAATGAGGCCAAGAGTGGCAATTCCTACTTCACTTCTTTTCTATGCAAGAAAACATTTCCTCCAATGACTGGGGTTTGATATTTGACATCCTAGCTTATTTGGAAGGCATTCTTTATGCTGTCATTGGAATGAAAGGGTGAAGTTGCTTCGTTGGAGCTAATATTGTACACGTTTATATTTCTTTTGTTCAGTCATCATGCTACTTTAAGAATCCTGACTCACTTGAGAAAATCATAGTACATTGTCATGATTACGGGAGTTTGCAGAGTTGTTTCTGTGGTACTTTACTAAAGTTTTCCACATACATTTGGCAGTGTTGTTATATTCCAGTTCCAACTGCTTCCTTCCCCTTTTTTTTTTGGAACTTGAGGTTTCCTATTTAGTATGTAATCCTAGGCTTCTAGGTAGATAGGTAGACATCAGCCCCTACATTGTAGTCTTCTTCTTATGGAATCTTAAGAAACTTTGAATCTTTAAACCCAAATGCATGAAAAGATCTTCAGATTTGATTCTGTATGTGTGTTTGTTTGTTTGTGTTTGTGTGAGTATGTTGTGAGAGAGTGTTCTTGCCTTTTATGAAACTCATGTTTGATTTATCATTTATGTCGTGCATTTCATTTTCTTTGTGTGGGGTAGTTCCCATATCATGCACAGACTTATACATGCAAAATAAATTCGGAAAGGCAAACAGAACTTTTATATCTGAAAATAGATCCTGGTTCAGATCACAGAAAGAAGTCTTCGGTAAGAAAACCTCGAATGGCTAGAAACTTAGCTTTGCTTTACTTTATCTTCTCCCTTTTGCATCTAAACATTAGATATACTTCTTATTTTGTTTCCTTTTCTTTTTTCTCTTTTCTTCTTTTAATAAATATAGGTTAAACTTTAAAAACAAATGGAGCCAAGAGAACTAAGATTTAGTCAAAGCTTTCCTTTCTCCCATTGTTGTAATTGTGATATTATAATTTGTAAAATACTGGGTGAAGAGAGTGTAAAACAGTGCCGGGAGCCTCAGTTAATGACTAGGCAAAGAGGTATGTTTTAAACTGAATACTTATCTTTTGTGGATTGTTTTTCCATTGAAATTAGAACAACATTTTCATTTTTAATTAATTGCATGTGTATAATATACAAATTAATATGATATGTTATATATACATATATATATTAAATTTTGTATTTGATATAGTGTTAGTTATTAATGGAGTTTGATTTCAATTTTGATACTTAATTGACTTTATGTACAATTACCAATCACATGCTTTTCCCAACCACAATCTCAAATAAAAATTTACAACATTGATATAAAAATAACATCGTATATATTATATACTCCCTCGGTCCCACAAAAAATGTTCCTTTTTGGGAATGTAACTTTTTAAGAATGTAGTTTTTAACCTTTTTTTATTATAGTGGTAGGGAATGTTTTTTTATTATAACTTTTTAAGAATGTAGTTTTTAATGTTTTTTTATTATAGTGGTAGGGAATGAATTTCCAAATGTACCCTTCTATGGTGGGTCCACGTGCTTTTAAAATTTCAAGGCAAGGAGGGTAAATTAGAAATATTAAAAAAATAGTATATTAGATTTTGAATTGGGACAGCCAAAATTAGAAAGGTGGACACTTTTTGTGGGACGGAGGGAGTATAATTCAATCCCATTTTAAACACTTTGTGCTCATCAGTAGAGTTTGATTTCAAGTGTAATTCTTTATTAAATGTTAATAATATTACTATAAAATGATATGAGTAGAGTAGTTATAATATTGATATGAGAGAGATAGAGAGAGTATCAGGACAAATAGAACAATTGTTTGTAAGTGTACTTGGATCGTTTATATAAGCTTGAATAGAAATAGTAGTTTACGGGTACCTTTTCAAGATAATTTGTGGTCTGTTTAAAATACATTTACGAAAGTTTGTGTCTATTCGGAATTGACATATTTGAGTTATTATTTATAATTTTAATGATATAATTCAGATAATGTATATGATGATAAAAAATGTATTGACATATATATATATATATATATATATTGAAAAGGGAATCATATTTCATATGCATCATTATTTCTTTCTACCCACCGAAATAATACAAACTGATTTTCATTACGCAATTCATCATGCGTTTCATTGAATTTCCAGCTGCTTATTTATATCCAACCAACTTTATCAAATAATGAGATGCAGCATAACCTGTACAATGAACTGGTTCACTTGGGAATTTACACATGTATTATGTACAAGCAAAATGCTAAAGGTAGAGTGGAAGTTAGAACAAATTTGATTATTAGACTGTCTAAAATCGAAATGACATAATAATCTGTGGAGAACTATGTTTTTCATACTTGGACTTCCAATTTTATATGCAATTATGAAGATATCAAGGTTTTCTGGTCGTATTCTGTAATTGAACGTTAATCTAACTGTGGGTTTGGCAACAATTCGAATTGATCAGGCAGCAGAATTAGAAATTGAAGCATATCCGCTGCTAGATGAACTTACGTCAAAGATCAGTACCTTAAACTTGGAACGTGTTCGTCGATTGAAAAGCAGACTTGTTGCATTGACTAGGAGAGTTCAAAAGGTATTGAGTTTTCTAATAGTTTTACTATTTTATGCACACAAATGGTGGCCCAATTCTAACATTTTTGTCTCCATTTTTTCTTTCATTCAAATAGGTTAGAGATGAGATAGAGCAGCTAATGGATGACGATGGAGATATGGCTGAAATGTATCTCACTGAGAAGAAAAAGCGGATGGAATCATCATTTTATGGTGATCAATCTTTGATGGGATTCAGATCAACTGATGGTGCGTTGTCTGTTTCTGCTCCAGTTTCTCCTGTCTCTTCGCCCCCAGATTCTAGGAAGCTCGAGAAAAGCTTGAGCATCGCAAGGAGCAGGCATGACAGCATGAGAAGTACAGAAAGTGCTACAGATAGTATAGAAGAGCTAGAGATGTTGTTGGAGGCTTACTTTGTCGTCATTGACAGCACCCTCAACAAGCTGACTTCGGTATCTGCAATACTCACTCTGTTCTGTTATATTATACCCTTGCTTAATACAGAAACAGTTTGTCAATTACTTCTCTACTTCATTTCAGCTGAAGGAGTACATTGATGATACAGAGGATTTCATTAACATTCAGCTGGTATGTATCCGCTCCTTTTTCTTCTGTGAAAACAACCACACTAAATTCTGATGGTATTCATTCTTATTAAACTCTAAAATTGAGTCAGTTTAATTGATTTAGACAGATCCAATCTCTCTCTCTCTCTCTCTCACAACTTTAGGGAGTATTCATATTACCTCAAAACAAGTTTGCATTTTTTTTTTGGTAAAAATAATAGGAAGGGAAACATATTGCTTGGGTTGAGGCACGAAGTGGGTCGCTTTCTTCAAAAACGGAAAAGACTTTCACAAAAGTATATAGTGCACTAGATTGCAGTACATTACCTTCAGGAAACATTTCTTGCTGCACCTTATGTTAGCCTGCACAAGGAAAGTAGAAGCTTCACCTGACAAAGTGCTTTGCCCTGAAAATTTTAAAATATTATAGAGAACAACAAGAGTGCCTAAAGGCTATTTACCCAAAAATAAAAAAAAATAAAAAAAATGAGTGCCTAAAGGCTATTTTGGAGAGGGGTGAGAACCTAAATTTATAGGGGTGAGAGCCTAAATTTATAGGAGTGAGGAGGTAACTGTTACAGGTAGAATAAATTCAGAAATTAAATTGGTCATAAATTCAAATTTACTATGGTATAAATCTGGAGTTAAACATTAACTAGTTATAATTTTCATTTAAAGTTGGATTAGTTGTGATTGAAGACCAGTAGTAATGGAATCTTTGGTCTTCTATGATATTACACTATCAATCTGTCACCTATTTTAATAAAAAATCAACACACACTCAGATACAACTGGACAAAGTTAGAACATCGCCCTTATACATTTTAAGTGCTATCATACAAGCTTCACATGCTAGCACATCACAGTTTTGTTCTTTATTCCAGTTTCATGAGCACTCCTGAGAATCAGTCCAATCCTTGTAAGGAATAGCCCCTTTCATTCTCATATAGGTGGCTATCAAGCATGATTCTTCAAGTCAGACATCACACTTGTCAGGTTTGTTAAGGGATTAGGATAAATTTTATCTTCCAATCGTTACAGGGTTACATGCACTTCCACCATAGTGATAAACAATAAGTCACTACGATTTTATAGTGCATGTCCACTCACAAACTTTCTGTGGTTCATTTGTTCCCATAACCTAGTTCTTGGGCTTTCTAGTTACCCTGTCCACCAAATCTTCTGGACACAATCTGATTGAGGTCTCCCAAACACAAAAAGGCACCATTAGTCTCCCATACTTCCCCCATTATCCTTTCCCAAGTTTCTTGTCATTCTCGCATAAATTATATTTTGGTGGTGGTTGTAAATTTAAGGTCATCGTCATCCCCTCCCCCTCCCCCTCTTTTCAGCAGCATATCTCTATCTCTTACTATGTGTTACATAAACTCTTCAAAAATCCATGAAATACCCACCAACACATGACATGAAATATCTCCATTTGATTTGTATGGTATGTGTCCAACATGTATGGTTGGATATGTACCTAACAAGTAATATTCAACAATATAATTTTACAATATATATATATATATATGTCCAAAAAAAGTGAAAATATTATTTTTCCCTAAAAACTAATTGAAAAATATTAAATAATATGAATAGTTGGCCATGTCCCCATCTTATTGGGTTTGGGGATATGATAAGCCCAATGCTTAGACACATCAGCCATTCAGCAATTGAAAACAGAGAATAGGACTGAGTACAAACCTCAAAACTCCTCAAAACAATGTCTTAAAATGCATTTTGCTGTCTTAGATTGACGATACACTCAGAGTCTTTCACTCGGACAATTACAACTTAATCTTTATTTTTGATAGAAGACCTTTGTCTTGATCCATCGATGGTTAGAAGAGTATGAATTAAAAGGTTTGTCAATGATCGAAGGTTAAAACTATAGTCATCTTTGATTTGCGGAGAGAGAATTTGTTAGGTCCTAGGATTTAATATACTTACATAATACAGACATATATATATATATATATATATATATATAGAGAGAGAGAGAGAGAGAGAGAGATTGTATTCGAATTTTGTGAAACCACCAGCATTTAGTGAGCAAGAAATGCCCACTAATTTACACCCCCATAACGGCCAATTTGTTATGAAAGGTCTATGTCACTGGAAATTCGAAGAACCCATTTGTGGCCCTTCATTTCTTTTTGTTAACAACCATCTATTTTAAAAGCTTAAGTTGTTAGAGGGGGTGTAATTTTAATATTTAAATCCTTAAACAACCCGCCTCACGTGTGACCTTCTTTTGGTCCAACACGTGTCAATTTTAATTATCACATTGAAGGTGAGGTTTGAATATAAGACCTTGCCTGCTTTGATATTATGTTAACAACCATCTACTCTAAAAGCTTAAGCTGTTAGAGATGGTGTAACTTAATATTTTAATCCTTCAACATTGTCATTTTACTATTTTTTTTAAATTGAAACAAACAGCCGAAGGTAGACACCGAATTTTTTTTAGCCGTTTGATGCATTGATGTGTGGCCCATAACCGGAATTGTTTTAGCCGTTTGGGACCCACATGGCCGCACATCAATGCATCAAATGGCTAAAGAATTACGGTCTCTTCTTTGGCTATTTCTCTTAGTTAGAGTAGCATGATTCTGCATATAACTATCACCTATATAATGGCCAGTGAATGAGTGTGTAACATCTTCAAAATCATCAGTTTAAAAAAAAAAAAAAATTGCATTCTCATCCACACTAACCCATCTTTTATTTTATTTTAAGAAGGGATGAGGATATAATTTCCATGCACACAAGTGTTTCATTGTTAGAAAGGAATACACTGTATTGCTCTTTATTGTTACATTAAAATGTATTTGTGATAGAATTATCAAGTCAACATAATTATCAAGCATGTTGAACCAACAGAATGAATGTGTAATACTAAATCTTTTCTTCCTACTGTTAATATTGTTGGGATTCCCCTAAGATTAAATAGATGTTAAAAATTTAATTATATGGCAAAATGCAAAAAACCGTGAACTATTAACTTTTGGAAACTAGTGTCCCTAAACTTACAAAAAAAATTGCAATTATTTCCTTTCTGTCCCTATGCCATTAGTTTATGAATAGTACGTAGCATATAATTTTGGCTAAATGACGATTATATCCTAGATTGGGTTAAATATTTCCTCTCTTTTTTTCCCTTCTCTATTTCTATGTCAAGGGAAGTTTGCTACTTTTACAACATTCTTAAGTGTTAACGGCATAGTTATGTATTGTCCTTAATTGCAAATATTTGTACAAGTACAGAGGTCAATTGCCAAATTGATTACAAGGGGGTTAGTTGCCAGAAGTTGATTATTGAGATTTTTTATTTTTATTTTTTCATTTTGCCCTAAATTATATAAAATAATGTGATTTGCAAAAAAAATAAATATTAGATAAAAGTTTAGAAAGTATTCTTCCCAGGAACTGATAAAAATTGCATCGGTCAATGCACTGCTTGGATTGAGTTTCGAGGTAGATCGCTCTTTTTGGGATGGTTGTGACTGGTTGTGACTCTAAAAAATATATCGGGTGCAGTAGGTCTCATCAGCCGAATGGACCAACCATATCTTATTGGAATAGCTCCTTAGTCTGCACAACTTAAGAAGAAGTTTCAGAGCATCGTATACTCTTTTATACACTGATATTCCTGTGCACAGTGTCATTAAAGTTACCAGTTTAAAGATATAGCTGAAGTCTACCTTATGCAACCGGCGGATATACCCATCCCTAACTCGGTGTGTGTAATCCACCAAGTGACTTATTATCAATAGAGTTCCCTATCTGTTCAAGTTCTCTCCTGAAGTCTTGAGACTTCTAATACATCCCTGTTTGTAGGTTTAAAAAGCCTTGCATGATCTGAAACAAGAGAGAAACATCCGTTTAATGAAGGAAATACTTCACCATGATCTTTTTTTTCTTTTCCCCATGATCTTCAACTGCATTTTTTTGGGCTTAAAAACTAAAAGATCATTGACAATTGATTGAGATTTTTTGCTTGCAGGATAATGTCCGTAACCAGCTTATTCAATTCGAGCTGCTGCTTACGACTGCAACATTTGTTGTTGCCATCTTTGGAGTGGTAGCAGGGATATTTGGCATGAATTTTGAAATACCGTTGTTTGAAGACCCAAGTGCATTCAAGTGGGTCCTAATAATCACAGGAATAACAGGGTTTGTCATATTTTTTTCATTTTGTTGGTTTTTCAAGCATAGAAGACTGATGCCGCTGTAGACTGTGAAGGAAATCACAATCGGTGAAGCTGGGAAATGCTACAAGTATTATTAATTGTCATTATTTACTTGTGTTACTTGGTAGACCAATGGAAAAATAGGAAATGAAAAGGTTGCTCTCTTTTTCGAGCAATTCTATATATAAAATTTAGCCTCAATTTTTCAATTGTATAAATTTCATTTACCAAATTCCTGTATATATGTTTCAAAAGAGTTAAACCAGGATCTATATTAGCAGGGCACTTCTGCCAGATTGCATAGCTGGCAACTTGAAAATATGTTACAATGATTTTGATCCCATTTTTTTAAAAAAGCGGAGGATGACTCAAGATTATACGCTAATCATCACCAGGTTGTGTTTGATTGTATTATTTAGAGATGAGGCTCTTAACATGCACAGAGGATGCCGAAACAGGAATCGGTTCTTTTAAGGTTACAGCCAATAGAGTGAATTGTAATTACCCATAAAGCCATACGTGATTGCAGAATAACTATTACGAGACTGTTTCTCCGACTATAGCCTTGAGAAAGGCAATCCAAATACCAATTACTCAGCCTCAACTTCAAAGTTGAGAATGCCAACTTATGGTCTTTCGTGGGTAGGCATTCAGTGAAACTGCAAAAGTCTCAGAACTCGAATTTGCTGTGTTTGTACCGTCAACAATGATACTGAAGGGACCTAGTGAAATTGCAGAAACCTTTCAACCAAAATTTTGTTTGTACAGTATATTGAACAAAACACTTATTCTGCGTGCTGTGAACAATGTATGTTATTTACCAATCTCATCTGTAATCTGTTTAGTTGCAGAGTCCAAACTCCAAAGGCAATGTTATAACGTTCAACTTGGTCATGGTAACTAGTTTGGGAACCAGGAAAACTGAATCTTCCTACAAAAACGAGCTACATGTTTAACTGAGTCTTCATGCATGTTTGTACGATAACATTACCTGGTGGAAAGGTATTTGCTGCACCCACTTGGAAAAAGGGAGGAGATCACTGCTTCTGTACAAGGTATAAAGAAGCTGAAGCATTTTACTCTTTTTATCATTTCTGCAATAAGCTTAATGATTAGAGGGAAAAGACCAATGAACTACAAGCCCTAGAATTCTTTCGAAGTCCATATAAAAACCTCCATCCCTCTGGGTCAGAAACTGGCCACACTGAATAAATTTGATCTGTTTTCACACTTCAAAATGCGTTTCCATTTTCCCTTCAACTTCTCCCTGCATAATACAAATAGAAATAAGTGCTTGGATAACTTACAAGCCCCTCACAATCACCTGAAATTGATCTTGAATTTGTCTCATAAGGTAGAAGGATGCGTGTTTTCCAGCAGGAATATCAAGGAGTCTTCCTGAAAAGTCATCTAAGCCCCGAAATTCGACTGATGGTTACAGGTTGACAGGTGTTTTGTCCTCTGGTTTCGAATAAAACACGAGAGAAGAAAGCATACATAATTGCTAGTCCCGTGTTTTATGTTCTGTTTTTAAATGAAAATTCACCTATTATTTATCCAAATTGTTCAATTAGGATCATTTGAGCAAGCTTTCATGCAACCTTCAATCCTACTGATCCAAGGAAAGTAATTCAAATTCAGCATTTATTTTTCCTATTCTTATAAAATCTGCTACAAACCAGGTGGAGCATTAAGAGTAAATGTATTTCTACTCGGATACATCAACTTAGGGCAATACAAAAGGTTCCAGGTTACAGGATCAAATTGCACTAGAAATACAAATCTGCTACAGAATATGCATTGGTATTACAAATGAAAAGATCGTAATATTATTAACAAATTGACTCAAACCTGTGACTGTAACATGTCCGCTCCAGCTTCGTTTCTCTGATCGTTAAAACTGCAAGTCTCACTTTTATGAAGTTCCTGCTTCTGCTTCCATTGTTGCAGCTCAACTACGCCATGCAGAAGATAACTCCAAATCAACATCTTCTTCCCACCAAGTGGCATTCTACAAAATCATGTCATCATGCGTTGTTGATACAACAGATTAAAAGCAAGTAATTTTCAGAAATAATGTAATTGCACCTTTTTTAGGGTTAGTGATGCAATTTCATTTTAAATTGAAGAACACAACTTTTCGGTACAATTCAAATGAGAAATTGCTACGAGGTATTGTGATATAAAGAAGGCACACATATGAAAAGGTACTACTCAAAAAGAGTACAGACCTTGTAGCCTCTTCGAAGAAATTCAAGCGAGCTCCCTTGTTCCTCCTCAAGTCCCAGGACCCTCAACAATTCCTCCTTGGTCTGTGGAATATCAGATAATGTCTAAATTAAGACAAACATATTTGTCACACCAAGAAGTAAGCAAATCAGATGCAAATGGGATTGCAAGGTAATATGTATATTATTACTTCACCCAATGTGAAGCGAGTTGCACTCTCTGCTACGCAAGCATAAGAACCATCTGCTTGTTTCAACATAACCTGCCAAGGCCCTGTAGAAATGCTTGTAAGGTAAGGGGGCTTGAGATATAAATTATGACCAACTTTGTTCTGTTATTAGTTGCATATAGTAAGTACAAACTCTGGTTTTCTTGGGAAAGAAGAACCAAACACGGGCTACGAATCAGTAAAGCATCCGTACAAAAATACAATTTCCAATCACTATAAGTTTCTTTAAATGTCCCATGGAAGTGAATCACCCTATTGTATTTTAATTAGCATTTGAAATGAATACAATTTGGTTCTCATAGGAAATAGGATGATGCGATAAAATTTTAACCGTTAGGAAGCAACGGGAAATAAGAGTGACCGAAATGCTAACGTTGAAATGGATGTATAAAAAGAAATGATAAAATTAAAAAAGAACGCCTTTATAATAGGAGAAGCATCAATTGGAGATCAAATGAGAGGAAAAGAAAAAACAGAAAAAGGGAAAGGAAATAAAGATGGTATAGTGTGCACCAATGACTAATAGTGACACGGTCCATATTGAAAAGAATGCTTGGAAAAGGGAAAGACAAGAAAGAATAGATTAAGATAGTAAACAAAGCATGGTAGTATTTCTTTGACGACATAGATTAAAACATCAGCCGTCATGCAACATAAAGGCCTATACTTTATGTCCTCTGGTTGAAAGACTTGCACAACAAGATCTAAGCTATTGGGCCATTAGATCTGTCATCTAAGGTATTCTGATTTTTTGTAGGCTTTAAATTATTTTTTGCTTCATATGGCATAAATTTAAATGAATCACACATACAAAGGATCATTAGAAATCTGCAAACACTCTTTTGGTGAAGTGACAAAGACTCAAACTTAACAGTCTACAGATGAATTTGTGCTTTCAAATGCAATGGAAGATAAAAGGGAATAAATTTTGTCCCTATTCGCGCATGGCACAATCCTAAGAAACTGAATACTGGAACAACCAAGCCAAACGAGGATTCACCATTCACATGCTACATTCAAAAAGATTAATTTTGCAATCATATAGCCACCACTTCCACCATGTTTCTACCACCAGGAACTCTGGAAGTAGAGCACCAAAGATTACAACTGCTGTAGGTTAAACCAGAATGGTGGTGCATGTTGACCTGATCTTAATTAAAGATGCAGATAAAACTTCACAGGTAAAAATCTAAGGGTTAATTGCAAAATATTCCCCTCTACTATACAAGTTTTGACAAGTAGCCCCCTTGAACTAAAAGTACAGCATATCACCACCTTCAACTATCAAAAAATAAAAAATAAAAAATTGAAAGATACTCCCTCCAGAGGGGGTATCCTGCAATACTTTCAATAGTTGAGGGGGCCAAATTGCATTGCAGAGGGGCAACTTGCAAGGCTCGAACAGTACAAATATTTTATTTTATTTTTTTAATTAACCCAAAATCTACTAATCAAATACCCAATAATTATCAACGAATGATGTATGGCCTGTCAAATTTTATCATTAGAAAGGAAGCTTTTCTCCATCCACAGTTTGAGACTAGTTTTCCATGATGCAAAAACAGAATCGGCATTTGTTTTATATAAACTACCAAAATTGTTCTATCCTTCATTTTTTGCTATTGTTTTGTTCATTTTCCCCCTATATTGTTGTTTCATTGGATGTACCCACAATAAATAGACAATTTCAAGTCCATGTTCCATTTGATGCATAAAGTGAAGGCACTCAAAAGTGAGAGGCTTAGAATAGAACAGCCCAGACTTTCAACACAAGAAAATGTACTCCTTACCGGGATATTGGCGGAACAAAGCTCCACTGTAATTTACAATATATGGTGCCACTGCAACTGTCTTCCATATTAAGAAACATGTTATTTAAAACCAAACATGAAATAAAATAAAATAAATGAGTGAGCTAAGATGAGGTACCTTTGAATACTCCCTTATTCGAATATAGAACACTGGAATGAATTGAGAAAGAAAACGGTACTGTAAATCTTTGGTTGGAAATCCCAGAATGCCCAAGTCAGCACTGAAAAGTTCAATATTCTGTGAGTCAGAGAAAGTTAATTCAATGAAAACAAATTTAAATATCCAGGAAAAGTTAAGCAACCCATTTATATACCGCAATGTGTCAAGTTCCAAATTGAAAAGAAGGGTGGGGGTCGTCTTAGCAAAATTTTCCTGCACATTCCATACACAGTTATTTAAAATAAATAAAAAAATAATGACCGAACTTAGAGATATGCCAAGAAACAGAAGTCCAAACTACGAAAGTTGCTTGTAACAGTGACAAAGTTTCGTCAAACATGAAATTAACTAGTAGCCAACAAAAAGTCCTATAATGTTTTTTTTTTTTTTTTTCTTTTTTCCTGTATCTTCCATGCACAACTTCAATTAAGATTGTAGAACATGAAATTGTACACATGCATTCCTTCTAAAGCTTAAACTGAAAGTGAAGATGCCTTTAGAGCCTAAGCTTGCCTTTATAGACAAGTCTGCTCTGAAACAATAGGTGAATGTCTTAAACTGGATATGCACTTATCTAAACTTAATAGGCCAGTTCCAGGATGAGTTCTAAATCTATATAACCCCAAAAAAAAATAAAAAAAATTTGAAACATATGAATTCAAAATAATCATTGAGAACAGGGTTTAAATGGATACATCCTGAATCTTCTATTCAATCTATAATTTCTTGTGTGACAATGACCATATACTCAAATTTATTTAGTTGTTTATAGAAATTTTTTTAAAATAATTGATTGCAAAATCTGACATAGAGCAGTATTTGAGTATTTGACACCATTTTTTTGTGCACACATCAAGCAATATACCGAGTCAGCAATGGATCATATAAGAAAAGGCTGAGATCAATTTCAAATATCAAAATTTTAAAAACAAGGAAGAGAACATTCTAAAAGCAAAGACACCATACCACGTACTTCTCTATAACAGCAAGTTCACGGGTACTGCAATTTATAAAAATATAAAGTGATGGTGGAATGGTGGACTGCCAACGACCTGCATTTGAAAGAAATGGAACAGATGTTAAAGCTCAAAGCCAATACATATTAAAACTGTTAAAAAGACATCAAATGCCACAGGTATTCGTTAGAATTTTCTTGACTCAAACATATATAGGTGCCTAATTGGCGATTTTATTTATAGTGAAGAAAACAAGCTCATAAGTTTACACAAAGTGGCCTTTCTAAATATAAATATTATATTAATATTCAGTTAAAACAACCAAACGGTCTGTTGATCGTATTACAGAATTATTCAATTAAAAAAATAAATGCCATACAGGAAAGAGTTAAAAATATTCAATGGTATTTTTTTTTCCTAGTTGGTACTCACACACACTTGTCTCTTCTGAGACTTGAACCCCTAACCTCCCTTTGGGAAGTAAGAAGTTGATACCGCTAGGCGACTGGCCCGTTGGTAATATTCAATGGTATTTTACTGTAGTATATTTATAATACATGAATAAAAGCCATGAACTTTCCTAGTATTGATATACAGGAAAGCTCATGTGGATTACATCAGTTACTGTAAAAATCAAAACTGTTAATGGTGGCTCCACTTTCCAACTGTAAAAACATACTCTTATTAATTAAATGTGAAAAAAATAACATTTTTTTTTTTGAAAGCTAGAGTTATATATATATATATAGATATAGATATAGATATGTAGTTTGAATCATTTAGAAAAATGAAGGAGACCAAAATCAAAGAGAATGAACCTCAAAATGAGAGAACTTTTCTTCTTAGTTCTTACTTTTCCTTTTACCTAATTTTATTTTCAATAAGTTGCTCCCAACTCACTAGCAACAATCTGATTGTGATTATCAAGTCCCCCATGATTGAATAGTCATCAGTAATAGGTCAATAGTTAAGCAGCAAGGCTTCCCTCTTTTTTCCAATAGTAATTACTCCCAATGAGAAAGCCAAATCATTGTACTTCTTTATCTGTTTTACAAGTTAAAGAATGAAAACACCAACGGGCCTGATCGTAGAAACAGGTTATTTGTAAATATCCTTCTATTAGGACCCTTAACAACCATGAAACTATGCATGGAAACAAGAAAATTATTAGAACATGATATTTAACGTGTAGAGGATCCGCCTCCCTGTGAACATGACCCACAGCAACAACGATATGCTCCACCCATAAAATTAAGATATCCGAACCAACATTGTCTACCATGCTTGCATGTTTGAACATACAAATGACAAACACTTCCTTGCTTCCTCCTTCACATGCATGCACAAAAGCAAGCACAACGCAGCCAGGGAGAGAGACAGAGAGAGAGAGAGTTTTCACTTCGTAAACCCTGAATTTGCATCATGATTGATGAATACAAGAGCAATCCGAGTATATTAGCACTTTAAGCAGTTACTAAGAATAGGAAAACCATGCGGAGTTTCTTATAAAATTCAGAAAGCAGCAGTATTTGAATTTTGTAGAACCAACCTTCATTTTCATCGTCAAAATCAAAATCCAAGGTGTCTCTTATAGATTTGAAGAATGTGTTGACAGAATTACTGGGGACATCATCCAAGGAACCTATGGTGATGCCATCAATCTGAAAGACATAATCAGAGGTGAAAACCAGCTAACCCTTCAAATTTTTGATATTAAAGGTTTCCCACTTTATGAAAAGTTCACATTTGAGAATCAACGGATATAATGTGGGAATAACAACAACATGACATGGCTTCCACTCTAATTAATAAAATCAAGGAAATGAAGTTTAAGTCAACGCCAATATAAATTGCCTGTAGATTGGTAATATTTTCAAAATCAACAATATGTTCGCAACATTAGCGTGTGGAAATGACATTAATTTACATATATAGTTGTGGTGCATTCTCTAAACCCTAAATCTCACTCACCCCATCCCTAGCCACACCACACAGGCTGAATGTGTGGCTGAGTGAAGACAAAAAACTGTTACCAAAACGATGGGGTGGGTGAGATTGTAATACCACTAAGCCGACTTCAATACTACAACAGACAAAAGTAGATTGTAAGTCTATAGAGTAATTCAATTACCGAGTCAAGAGCTGCCTTGAAAAGTTCAGAGGCCCTACGCCTTTCTGGCTTATCAGGAAACACCTAAAATCAATATACCATGTTAAAACTCATTTCTTCTCTTCAAGTAAAGAGTACACCGATGTATATGAAAGAAATTGACTCTTCTTACAATGCAAGCTCTTGTTGCTTTCCTTTCTTGAAGCTTCCTAACAACAGCCAAGGCAAGTTGAATGTTGGCATCATTGAACTCATCTGAAGATCCCTTCATATATATAAGAATTTGAGAAAATCATGCATCTGGTTTAATATTAAATAATAATAATAATAATAATAGAAATGAATAGTTATGGCAGGAAATAAAGTGACATAACGGGAAATTACAAATAATAGAGATTGCAATAAATCATGAGCAGGGCAATTTGTGAAGAATCATACTTTCAGCCAACTAAATAATTTTAGAGTGAAGAGGGTACCTTATAAGAAGAAATGTTGGTAGGCAAAGGCCTGTTGACACAATCCAGTGAAAACGGAGAAAAACAAAAAGAACAAGGGCCAAAAAAATATTGTTAGGAGAGAAAATGGTAACTCTCTCAAAAGCCTGAATATTGAAATTAAAAAACATGAAAAAACATGGAAACAAATATGATATCATCAAAAGAAAACTTGGCTAGAAGCTTCCAGATAGGGATAATGATGCATCTAAAAATTTCACTTCAGTTTGAAGATTTTCCAATTCATCTTACTTTTACTCTGATCCCAAAACTTTATCCCATTGCATACGCATAAAAAGCTTGTAAATTATCCATCATTATCATAAATGAGCCATTTATTACTTTTGAATGATGCATATTATATTGTTTTCATATGTCCAAGTTCCTTTTGTATGGCAACACGAGGGCTTGAATAAAAGATATTACCTAGTTCTAGTTCCGCCACGGCAAGTCCAGAGGAGGAGGGACTTAAGAAGATTTAATCTTAGGTATCTCCCAAAGTGGTCGCTCTGAGGATCAACCTCGCACCACTGGCACCGATGCTCAAGCATATTGCATATGATTTTAGAAACTATTCCTAAAATACCCAACTACCCAGATAGCCAAATCTTAAGACATACATATTTTTCACCATAAGAAATGGGTTCAAACCATTAAAAGAACTTGAAAACCAATTGAACATAGAGCATTAGGAAAATGTAAATTATTCAACAATGGACCTTGATGCTAGAAGTTCCCATAAACACTTAAATTTTTAATTATATGCAAAAAGGACATAAAATAGAGGGTGGCCCATGGCATAACATTCGCTCCATTGTGATCTGAAGGTCATGGGTTCGAAACCGGAAACAACCTCTCCATGTGGAAGTAAGGCTGCGTACATCTGACCCCCAACCCCACAAAGGCGGGAGCCTCGCGCACTAGGATAGCCTCTTCTTCTTCTTCTTCTTTTTTTGGCAGAAAGGACATAAAATAAATAGCTGCTATCTTAATTCATCTTACATGCACAAGGTTATCAAAATTCCTGGCAAAGAAAAATGATTTATTTTCCAATCGAAAAAAAGAAAAAGAAAAAGAAAAAGACAATCAATAGCTGGAAGCCTGAAAAGGATATTGCCCTCAGTTTGTGTTGTAAATAAACACTAAGAATAAATTTAAAATTGGAACTGCCACAAGCCTCTCTTTTCCAACCATGGGAATCGCCTGCCATATAACGAATTTCAGGGCATATTGCCTGTCTAGCAATTTACTAAAAAGATGCGACTTTTATGGTAAGTAGTAACATCCCCATTAAGAATACTGATTCTGTAAAAATAATTTAGTTTTGCAAGCTACTCAATGAGAGGTAATCTGTAAATCCAGGTGCATTGCTAAAGTATGCATCCACACAGTACTGTTTTTAGTGATAATGGTGATATGACATCATTCCTAAGAGAACAACTGCCGCATTATGTTGTAATGGTTATGCAATCACACTCTAATAGTGATATGGCATTAATACGATATTATGCATGACAACATTATTTTGTTATAATGACATACTAAGACACTAATACGATACCACACTCTAATAGTGATATGCCATTAATACAATTTTATGCATGAAACAATATTTTATTTTAATGACATATTAAGACACTAAGTAGTATTATTGATATAAGTGACAGTGACAAATGACTATATTACAGTCTTGTGCAACTCTATGTTAATACATGATACTCTTGATGATTAGTGGCAGCATGAGTGATTTTATATTGATAGCAATACTATGTGTACTATGTGATCTTATGTCAATTATGATGGAACATGATTCAAAGCTTCAAGAAATTCCATGGGAATAGCAGTTTGACATAATATTAAGTGAACTACAATACTATGCAATTTCAAGATTACAATAATTTTATATTTTAAACGAATTATGATTCCATTAGAACAACGATTAATGAATTGAAAATGATATATGATTTCATGTGATTTAATGATATTAGCGATATTTCATGTTTTCTGAGCAAATTACAGTAGTGTGTGTTCTGATGATGATCACGATTCTATATACTTTATTTGGATAAATATTTCTATGTGATTTGACATTGAAAACAATGTCGTTACCTTCTTTTCAACTAGGAGCCATGAATGACAGAACAAGATCTACTAACAAGCTTAATTCCACTATTTTTATGGCTCGGCTTTAGCAGAATTTTGACAGTGTTGATATAGTAAATGAACCTATTTGAGGATTTACTGAAATTTTGATAGTTTCAGCAAGATTTAGTAATAGAAGTTCCAGAGTTCATGTCACTCCTTGAACCCGATCCCAAAATCATACAAAAGTCAACCCTTATATTTAAAAAAATTAATTTTAATTTCATACTCAATTAAATTATATGGATCATTTACAGTTTATATAGTTTTTTACATGGTTTTAGCAAAACAATACTAGTGATTTATGCCATGAAACATCAATAGGTTTAAAAGTAGGAAATTTGAGTGTGTGTTGGCATTACATGGAGATATAAAGATGTCAAAACTACCAAGGGTGGCAATGTTATGATTATGGACACTATAATATCAACATTTTCTGCTAATATTATATCATGCACGTGGTATAAGACAAGCAACAGAAAATAAATAATTAAGGGCATATAGATATGGGTATGATCTACATTATGGTGGCACAACAGGGGTTTATGCAATCATGTCCGTGGGGATGCAAACATGTCTGTATATGTCTATATATATATATAAATATTATATATATAATAACTCAAAATTAAAAACCCCATTTCGTATAAATCATCTACAAGTAAATGTGCTTCTAAAAAAAAACTCAGATTACCATCTTGAAGCTCTAATTATGTAATGGGCATTGCTTTAAATTCAATAGTTATTAAGAAAAATTATACATAACCCAGTTGCTAAGAACATAAAGAAAGAGTATTTAAGAGGGAAGAGAGTTACGGAAAATCAATTTCGAGACGGGTCTTTCCATCATCAAGAGCGTAAGCGAGAGAAATGGCAGCGTCTGTGACGAGAACCTCGTAGGATTTGGGCTTGTAAACTGAGATTCCGACCTTGGGATTGGACTCTGAGGTAGCTTCCTTCTTGCTGCAATGAACTTGGTTAGATTGGAATCTTGGGGAAGATTGATATGTTAATGAATTGGAGGATACGCGAGTTGGGAGGAGAGAGAGAGAAGGGAGAACCGGGTGGGAGTGAAAGAGAGAAGAGAGAGAAGATGTGTGAGAAAATGTAAAGGCCGTGCGCATGGCCATGTCTATCTGTGGTTTGGTCTGAACTCTGATGAGAGATTAGATGATACCGAATTCGAAGTGCCAAAAAAAAAAACACAAAAAATAAATAAAAAATAGATTTTTTTTTTTTTTTTTTTTTTTCAATAAGTAAGAATTTTATAAAAAACACTCAAAGGGGAGCGAACCAATGGAAATAAGATAAAAATCATAAAATTCAACTATGATTAAAAAATATATCTACCGGTTAAATGGATCGTGAAATGTCAAACTTAATCTTACTATTTAATATTAAATTAAAATCTATAATTATTATTTTAAAATTAAAAAAATATAACTTTCTAATAATATTATTTAAAGTTAGATGGGTTGTTATTGGATGATGAATTTTTTTCTTTACAACAATATTATTTAATGTTAGATAAGTTGTTATCTTATGATGATTATGATCAATTTTTCGTCCCTAATATTTTTTTTATAATTTTAAAATAATAATTATACCTTTTAATTTAATATTAAATAATAAGATCAAATTTAACATTTCATGGTTTTGGAGTAAATTGATAAGTTAGTTTAGAGAATTTTTTAATTCTATTGGATTTTATGCACGATTTTAAAAGTAGAGGTAGTTTTATGATTTTAATTCTAAAAAATACATCATATTTATAAAACGTTTTAAATAAGTTAAAGTCAATACTAATAATTTTAATTTTTTCAATTTTGCGAAATCATTAGTATCCTTCTCTTATTAAAATATTAATCCTACCCTTCGGTTCTAATTTTTAAAATGGTATCAGTTTATGTAATAATTAAAAAATATAACCCACTAATCTTTCTGAAATGATATTTTTTGCCTTTTGGAAAAGAAAAAAATAATAATTAGCCTATGTTACACCACCTACAAAGGCTACAATACAAAATGCAAAAGAAAATTAGTGACTATGTTTAGTAAAGGAAAACGTTTTCTTTTTTCTATGTCAGATCCTAAAAAGATAAAACAAAAATAAAAGATACATTTAATAATATGTTTTTTTTTTTTTTGTAATAGAAAACGTTTTCCATTTTCGTAAAGAAAGGAGGAAACATAAAAAAAGTGTTCGTTATGTTTTCGACACTGTTTAACAAAAATGTTTTCACTATTATTATTACATATACATGGTTTATTTTAAATAAGATGTATGTTTTTCATATTATATTCTAATGGTACATATTAAATACTAATAAAAATTATGTTTTTAATATATAATTATATTATATTATATATTAGTGTAAGTTATTTTTTACTTAACAAAAACATATTTTTATAATATAATGTATTATATAATAGTGTAAATTATTTTTGGGGACAAAAAAAAAAAAAGTATGATTTATTATATGTTTATTATAAAATTATTATGCAACACATATAATATATTATTATATACCACATCTACATAATATTGTATTAAATTATAGTTATATTATTTAATATTTTTTATTCATTATAATATAATATATGTTAAATATATTATATTTTTTATAATAAATGTATAGATGAGCATATGCACGCATTATATACATAATTGGTGTGAGTGTTTTTGTCCTAATATAACTTATTTTGTACTTATGTATTTGGTATTATTAGGATTTGTGATTTTAAAATGAATATAATGTTTTATTATCTTGTATTGGGTATTTTTATATTTGTGAAATAATTGAATTGCATATATATTTAAGGCTTTTTTGTACTAACGAAAAAAATTAAAATAAAAATAAAATAATTAAAAAAAAAATTATGTACATCTATAACAAATATGTATTATTAAACATTGTTATTATTTTTTGTTTTCAAAATTTTGATAACAACAAGTATTAATAAACGTCATTTTTACTTTTTATTGTCACTCAAGAAAACAAAATTATGTTTCTGTTTTCTTAAAACTGCAGAAACAAAAAATGAAAATGTTACTAAACGCACCCGCCATTAGGAAGTGTATTAGAAGCAAAAGACCTATTTTTTTTTTTATAAAAAACAAAACAAATAAAAAATAAAAAAATTGGAATGTAAGTTTAATAATTTGGTTATGTTTGGTAACCCTTTTTATTTATTATTGATCATTTAAGCTTAAACATAATTAGTGTTTATGTGTAATTATTGTTTATCGATAAACACATACATTGTTTGATAACGTAACTAAAAATAATAAAAAGAAAAACATATTTGTTAACCTTAAATTGTTTTTAAAAAATTCAACACCAGTTTTAAACAAATAATAAAAGTATTTATGAAGTGTCTAATTATAAGGTCACAACTTTAGCAAATGGGATGTTCGTAAAAAAAGCTATTGATCTTCAGTGGAATGTGGCCTTCTTGGTTATTTAACAATATTAACAAACAAGTTTTTCTTAAAAATCTGTTTATATAAACAATAAGTTATAAACATGAATAGTTACCAAATGGGCCAACTATTACAAAATCATAATATAAATATTACAATTCAAGATCAAATGATTTCTCAAGATAAATATTTTTTATTTTGTTTTGTCCGACAAACAGGAGACCATGTCTTACTAGTATGTTGGTTTTAATTAAAAAGGAAAGTGGCACCAGAGGGATTGAACTTGGGATCTTGATCTCAATATCTTAACACTTAGTCACTTTACCACGTGCTTCTATGCAATCTGTATGCGTCATTATATATTTATATTAGTTGTTACTATATAAGACAAGAATAAAAATAAATAAAATATAAATGTATGAAATAATATTATTAATATTTAATACTATTAAATTATTTTACAAACCTTTCAGGGGAACTGAACAAATTTACATTCTCTTAGTTTGAAATTCGAACATGAGAATAAACATAAGAATGGGGGGCAACTAATGATACGAATTTTTCAATGACTCTAGTGGACACAAAGCCACAAAGTCGGATAAGTTACAATTAATAAAGTGATGTGGATAAAGAGTAATTCTCTAATCAATATTGAACAAGTAAAAGGAAATTAATTTCCTTGTTAAATACTACAACCTACCATTTGGTAGTCAGCCAATTCAAAAGGTACAACAAAAATTCCTAATAGAGTCTGTTCATCTTCCTGGCATTGTATTAACTTGACCGTCGAAAATTCTTGGGCTGGTACCGCATCGGTGCATTTCCGATCACTTTTCTTCTTCTCTGCAGGTCACGACATTGTTCTAGGTCGTGATAGAATCATGCATCATCAGTTGGCGCCACCTACAATATTATTAAATATTGATTACATTTCTCTACAATTATTTTATTAACCTTTCAGGAACCGAACCAACTTACATTCTCTTAGTTTGAAATTTAAACATGAGCTTGTTAAATATTACAACCTACCCTATAAAAATGGTAGTCAGCTAATTCAAAAGGTACGACAAAAATCCCGAATAGAGTCCATTCATCTTCATAGTCTTGTACTAAGTTGACCATCGGGGTCGGTTCTGCACTAGTGCCTTTCGATCACTTTTCTTCTTCTCTGCAGGTTAAGACCATATTTGATCTCTGATTATGAGTTGTTGATTGATCAAACCAATGGGTGAGCTTGATGATGATGGAGAGAAGTTGAAGAAATCAGCGAGAACAAGAAGACCAAATCTGAGGCACGCCATTGAAGACCCACACAAAAGCTTCATCACTGTGTATGGATGCTTGAAAATAATCGAATACGGATATTGGGGCAATGTGATCATTTTTTAAAGTGTAAGAAGTTTTCTGAAACAGGTTAGAAGTTTATAATCAAAATTTGAAAGTAGTGGAATTTTTTAAAATTAGCCCTAGAAAATAATAATAATGATAAAAGAAAGATAACTCGTGCCAACAACCCATCTATATTGATAAAGGCATAAATGATAACTATTGTGATATTCATGAAAATTCAAGAAACTGATGAAGTCATTTCAGATTTTCGTAAAGATTTGCGTTCAAAATTGTAACTTTACTAATTAAAGATAAAATCTAAACTAATTATATGAATCTAAAGATTGAAAACCTCATTACAGTAGGGTAGACGAACCATACACCTTTCAAAAAAAAAAAAAAAAAAAAATCAATCAAAAATCATCATCAAAACTTGTCTGCCTTATTAGTCAAATAAAAAATCAATAAAACAAGATAACCAATACCATCTTGATAAGATTTTAACCTGAATATTGTATGGTTGAAAAATCATCATCAAAACTTTCATGTACAATTTTGATCTAGTTAATTGTAAAAATTACCGCTCGTATAATATTACTAACATTAATTTCATCGGAAAAAAAAAAAAAGAAGATAAAATTGAAGCCAAAAAAACATATCATCCTGAGAGTCAAAACCAATCTATATATATATAATTTTTTATAAAAAATTTATAATACTAGGTGTTACGGGGTAGGAAGAACAAATCCTAATCTTGAATCTGTATATTAAACTTGGGCTTGGATTAAGATTAATCCAGAAACTTATTAAGTAGAGAGTACAACAAATAAATAAATAAATCTAAACGTGTATGAATATAGTATATAGTGAAATGGAATCGATGAATTCAATATAGAATATATTTTCAAAATATAAAATTTACTCCTAAGTATATACCACGCACGTACCTTGACGATGGATGGAGCATGATACATTTAATTAATGGAGAATGTCTATCACTAGAAGCAAGGACCCTTGCCAAATTGATCATATAAAGTGTGTGTGTGTGTGTGTATATATATATAAATGTATCAATTGGCTGGCAAAGGTTCTTGCTTCTAACGGCAGGCATTCTCCATATATGGCAATGGCTTCGATCTTCAGCACACAATACGTCTACGGAGTACGGTCCACCCCAACCCAATAAGTGTGTGTTAGGGTTTGTAAACATACCTAATGTGTACAATACATGGTGTATTTATAAGAGAGGATTAGGAATAAGTGAGTGCTATACAAGTAATATACAAGATAACTGAATAGATGAGTACTAAACCTAAAAAACAAAAAATCCCTAGCTAACAATATATATCAATAGCTTACATTTTACAACTCAACATAACCCTTAATTGTGTACTTATAACAAACAGTTTGTCACTTTCAAAAGCT